AAGAATGGGGTCTCCAAACGGGCTCTTAATAGTAGATATTTTTGTATTGAATAGCTTTAAACTTTGTAGAAATTTGAAGAAAAATAAATAAAGATGTATGGATGATTTAAGAGTGTCAAAGTTTAAACTATTTCATTTTTTTAATTACTTGTATAGTCTACATCTTTTTTAAAGTTATTACGTTTTAATTTTATATTGTTACACTCACTTTATTTTTCATTCTCTTAATTTTATATACATACATTTTCAACTTATACTATTTTTATATTACGACTTCGTATTACATTATTCTTCAAATTTATAAGAGTTTTTTCAGAGCAATCAATTGTTTTAACTTTTTTTAAAATAGTGGATATAGCACATTAAGATGACTTGATTGAATGTGCTTTTAAAGTAAACAAGTTTAAGTGATACTTTTTAGTGAGGGACATAAATGAAGAGTTGAATGCCTGAAAATAGTAGAAAGATATATTTGACCTTTTACAAAAGATATATACAGTTGAAATTGATTAGATGGTGTGCTCAGTGTGTCCAAGTAATTATTCCTAAAAGTAAATATTATTCTTATGAATTTCACCAAGTAATTATTATCAATAAAATGGTACATACCCCTGGTGAGAGCTCTCTTGCTCTATGGTTAGTTTGACAAGAAAAAAAAAATTAGATTTTGAAACTGGAGATTGCATTAACGAGAGTGAGTCTATTTCTATTTATATTTTATATATAAGAAATATAAGAAAATAAATAGCTCCTTAAAAGACAATTACATCCTTCATTAATCTGATGTGTCACTCTCTCCTGAACTTTTTCCTTTCATTGCATTCTGCCACGTGGCTGCTTCTTTCAAAGGAATTGAGTTTTTTTTTGTAATAACTGAAGCAAAAAACAACCACCCGACTCTTTCTCTGCATTGATTACTATTCACTCCATTTTTCTTCTTTCTAATAAAGATAATAGTAATTCTAAAAGATAAAACCTACTCCATATCATATTATGTAGTTTGTACCAGGACCACGTGTTCATTATAAATCCGTATATTCTTGATTTCTTTCTGTAGAATATACAAGTCTGTAATTTGTATATTCTTTCTACTTCTAAAAAATTCAGCAACTACAATACACGAAGTAATTTTTACTTAATTTAAAGATTTTCTATTAACTTATTTCAATCTTTCATATGACACCGATATTGGATATATATAAAAATTCTATTAATTTGTGTAGTTTAAGGTCATTTTTCCCGTGCACACTATTAGTCCGGAGTGATAGCTTAAAGTAAAATTGCAAAAATTCTAGCGCAAAGATTAAAACAATGAATAAAACTGATAAAATTAGTGTAATTTTATTCTAAGCTATCTAATTATTCGAATGTAACAATTAATTGAACGAGAGGATTTATCTCTCATACATAGTGCTTTCAGAGATAGTAAGATAAGAGTGCTGATAATTGAACGATATAATTTTCTCTCATACGTAGTGTTTTTAAGTAGATAAAATAAGATATACAAACTAATAATTTCTCCCTCATATTTTCTCTTTTATGACCTTTTAAACGTATGACAAGACATTTTTCCATATTTATCACATGTGTCATGACAATCAATAGATATCAAGCTCTATCACTGAGCTGAAAAAAATGAAATATTCCTACCTAAGATAAGTGCACTAATAAATGAGCGGAAAATTTTTCGATCTCATTTGTATTCACCCCTATTGTGTGGCTTCAATGGGGCAGGGCAACTCATTTAAATGATTCTACCTCCGTAACATTCATATCTTCCCACTTTCCTTTTTTGGTTGTAACATTTATATATTCTCATTTCTAAATATTCCATCACACCCTCAATAATTTTTAAAATAATAAACTATTACAACTACTTTTTTGGATTTATCCTACATTCCATCACATTATTCCACTATCTTCGTATCATACCCTCAATAATTTATATCTCTCTTCACTATTCATACTCTATCTACTTTTTGAAATGGAAACATATTTACGTTACAGAGGTAGTAGGATTTTGTGAACCACACAATAGGTGATGTACAAATGGGGTACACCAAGCATAGCTCTTTATTTTATGTTTCCAACAATCAGGTTTCTCAATGCATCCAGAACAAAATTTATCCATAAAAGATAACATTAATACAATTTATTGGTCAAATAAACACATCCATATAGGAAATGATTTCCCTTTAAAACATTTTTATGGCCTTAATATTAAAAACAAAACATATTATATGTTTTGGACAATAAAAATAATTGAGCCGAAGAATTTTCTCTCTTATGTGTAGTGTGTTTACTATAAGAAGATAGACAGACTAATAATTCAGCGGGAAAATTTCCCCTCACATTAGTATACGATCAGATAAGATAAACAACCTAATAATTGAATGGATCGGGAAGTATTTTCGCTCTCATACGAAATGCTTTTGGATATAAGAAGATAAGCGTGCTGATAATTCAGCGGGAGAATTTTCTCTCGCATACGTAATGCTTTAATTTTAAGTATAAGAAGATAAGATAAGATATACTGACTAATAATTGAGCGGGGAAATTTTCTCTCATATGTGGTGGTTTTAGGTATACAATAAGCAAACTAATAATTGATCGAGAGAATTTCCTCTCTCATGACCTTTGAAACATATGAGAAGACATTTTTCTATAAATATCACCTATGTCATGACAATCAATAAATAATAAGCTCTACTATCACTAAAAAAGGATGAAATATTCCTACCCAGGCATATGTAGTGCTTTTTATATAACATAAGCGGACTAATAAATGAGCAGAAAAACTTTCTCTCTCGGACGTACCGCTTTTAGGTATAAGATCAACGGACTAATAATTGAAAGCGGGAGATTTTCTCTCTCTCTCTCATGTGTAGTGCTTTTAGATGTAATAAGCAGACTTTTTTTTTACAATTTATTAACTCATATGTAATGTTTTTAGGTATGAGATAAGCGGACTAATAATTGAACGAAAGAATTATCTTTCTCACAAAAAGTAGTTCTTTTAGCTATAAGATAAGCGAACTAATAATTTAGATGAAGAATTTTCTCCCTCATATGTAGTGCGTTTATGTATAAGAAGATACCAGACTCATAATTGAACGGTATCTAGACGTATTTTATACGGAGTATATGAAAAAATTTCCGCTACCAAGGAAATTTTTCTCTTTATTGTTTGTCTTACTTCTTCCCCCCCCCCCCCATTACTAAATCCTGGCTCAGTCATGATTATCGAGGTTTTAGAAAACATGGATTGATGATTTTAATATTACGTGTATGACAAGAATAAAAACATAAGAAGATACTACCACTAAAAGTTCTCTTTAAAGTGGTTTGTCAAAATTCTAACAATTAAGTTCAATATTTTATTATCCGTTACCAACAATACTAATTATTACTACATCTTACGTAACAAATTCTAATGGATGTTGTTGATTTTTTTATATTTTAATTTTCTTTTACTTTGCACATTTGTTGTATGGATTTAAAGTTTTTACTCACTTATTCTACTCATTTTTGAAATGGTGTAAAATTGTAAAAAGAATTTATTTTTATATTTAATTAAATCGTGAATAGAAGTATATATAGATCATCCGTTTTCCGTGCGTACGCACGGGTACGGTGCTAGTATAACATAAAAAGGTTATTTGAAGCTCTAAATCCTCTAATGAGCCGTGATTTATTCTCTAGTGTATTTAAGATTCTTCTAGGTGTGAATTTCGACAATTGTTTTATGGGTGAGTTCATTTCAGATCAGCAATGTAAGTTGCCACATGATGCTATACTATTTTCACTTGCTATCAAAGACATTCCTTCACTTCTAGATCTATGTTTTTCAAAGTTCATCATTCCCCTCGATCCAATTATGATGACACCAATGACTCGCCCCCTCAGGGTGGAGACAGGGAGGGGCTAGAGGTGGGCACGGCTCCTGCAAGGAATTTTTTTTTGAGTATGTGTTATATATAAATACTTTTAATATGTAAAAAGTATGTTGATATTTTAAACTTTGATCTCTGCAATGTAAAATTGTTAAGGACCGACCCCTTTAACCCTAAATGTCTGGCTCCGCCTATGCGCCCCTCACGAATATCTGGTATTAATTCCGATGTGCATCAATTCGGAATAAAACATCGTTGCTTTTCAGACACGTTGGACAGATTTGCAAGTCCTATAGAACCAAACAAGGGCACTGTTTAGCTGGAAATTAATGGCTCGTTTTTACTTTATTAGTATCGTATTTATTTATTTTTTAATATTTCTCACATTAGTGTACTCTTCGTTATTCCTTGTCCATGTGTTTCATTCGTGGTAGAGGGATTGTATGTTTTTCAAATCGTATTAGGAACATGGAAGCCTCATGCCCAACATAAGCTTTTATTTGCTCGTTACATGATTGGACTATTTCAATATAGACAATTTTATTCAGTGTTTGGATCTGATTCTTCTCTTCTTTCAGGGAGCAGAAGCAGAAACTGAAGTGTTTGGAACTTTAGATGAAAGTGCAGAAGTGATTATGGTGTTCTAATTTATTTCTAGAATCAATTTTTTAGAAGCTAGAGGTGACTGGCTTCTGAAAACTGATTCTGATTCTGCTTCGACCTTGAAAAAGAAGCAGAATCTGTTCCAAACACACTCAATTAGAAATAAAATGGTATATTTGGCCGCCTTGAGGAGCTACTCCTTCCTTTCCATAATGAACTCTTGTTTTAACTTAGGCACAAATATTAAGAATTTGGGAATTGTGTGTCTACCTAAAATTGTGCAAAAGAGATAAAAAATTTGGCGACAACTCTGGTACTCATTTAAAAAATGGAGTACCGTACCTACCATTTATTAGATTGGTCCAAATCATTATATCAATTTTAATTTAGATTTAATAATTCATCTGCAACATTCTGATTGGTTCATGTGGACAAAGGTGCAATAACTTACGAGTACCCTACAATCTACCAAAAAAAATTACATATAATTTTTTTGCTACGTTACCAACTTTCTGGGCCTGAATCTCAAAGTTTAAAACGCACCATTTCTTTCAGAGCCACCGGAGGTTTTACCGATGAAGTTCACAGATTCGCCGGTGATCGACCTTACGGTGCTGGATAAGAAACTCTCTGTTCAGCAAGACAACGGCTCGATGCATGTGGGCACCAGCGTCTGGCCATGCTCACTCGTCGTCGTTAAGTTCGCCGAGCGCTGGCACCCGTCGGCGTACGCTGCCGCTGACAACCCCTACTCCGATCTCCTCGACTTTAGAAACAAGAGCGGCGTCGAGCTCGGAGCTGGCTGCGGAATCGCCGCTATGGGCCTATTCTTATTGGGCCTCAACGACGTCGTCCTCACCGACATCTCCCCCGTCATGCCGGCCCTAAAGCACAACCTGAAGCGAAACAAGCAAGTTTTGAACAAATCCCTGAAAACGGCTGTTTTGTATTGGAACAAGGAGGAGCAGATTAGGGCCTTAGGAAAGCTCTTCGACTTTGTCATCGCCACTGACGTGGTTTACCTGGAGGAAACGGTGGGCCCTCTCATCACTGCCATGGAATCTCTTCTCAAGGAAGACGGCGTCGTTTTGCTTGGCTACCAGCTTAGATCTCCCGAGGCACACAAGATGTTCTGGGAGCTCTGCCCGGAGGTTTTCGATGTCCAGAAAGTTCCTCACGAGCATTTGCACCCAGAGTATGCTTACGAGGAGACCGACGTATATATACTCCGGAAGAAGAAGAAACCATAATCTTCAAGATCAAATTTTTATTTCAGGCGAGCTTCCTATTTTTTTCTCAATCTAATTTTCAAGTGAGAAGCTTTTCAATTTTCAATCTTTCTTGTCGCTTGAGCTTTCTGTTAAGAGCGTCAGTTTGAAATTATTGCCATGGTGTGGTTGGGTAGGTTAGCTACCACTGCCTATTTTTTTAAGAAATGTATCTTTACTTATATGTTCTCAATGCATCCTTATCCATGCTTGAAGGAAAAACTTTGACTAATTGAAAGATTTGTGAGAATTTTATGTGAAGATAAGGTGTAGATAACATGTAATTAAATGTAGTCGAGATATATTTCTGGTGTAAATTTACATTACACATGGATTCAGTTACCAATGAACTACTTCGTTTCGCATTACTAGAATAAGCCTAAGTCCTAACATTTCACTTGTTCTCTGAAAGACAAGTCTCTGGGGCCCCTTCCCCTGTCCCCGCAATGCCTTTGTGCACCGGGCTGCCCTCTTTTAAAGTGATGGGAACTGGTAACAGAGAAGGGGAGTGATATTAAACCAGCCTTCATTCTTCAACACTGATAATGCTAGAGCTTTGCCCTGGTGCAACCGTGCAATGTATGATTGTTGTTATAGCAATATGACATTGAGAATTATTTAACTGACTGCTCATTGTCTTATTGAGCTTATTATCCTAGGTCTGATAGTATTTTTATGGCTGATTTTCGGTACAGAAGTACAGAGAATATCGATTGCCCTGCAGACTGTCCAACATAATGAACAGATCGTCTAAACGATAATGAAGCAAACAGTTTCACATCTGAAAAGGTCCTTATCTTCTTATTGTACAGACGAAATGCCATATTTTAAGTTGCTTTGTATAATTCTATTGCTATTCTTGTTCATTGTTGTACCCTTTTTTTGTTCAAACTCAACTTTGAGTTTTCTAATAAAGGTCTAAGCAACATATTCTAAAAGATATTGAATCTGCAAGATTTTTTAAACTTGATCATTTAAACTTGTTTTTGGTGTTTCCAAGTTTTCCTACTCACCTCCAGGCATGGACCTGGTCCATGGCCCTGGCCCGGACATGTTTTTTCCGGTTTTGGTTGAAGACTGGCGCCGGAACTGCCCCCAATGGCGCCGGTCCTGGTTAGGGATTTTGGGGACCATAACCGGCCGGTCCTGTTTGACACTGTTTTGTCATTAGTACTTAAGGGTAGTAGAGTAAATTGATAGAAAGTTGTTTAACAAATAAGGAAAGAGGATTTAAATAGGGGCATCCATAAAAGGAAAGTGAGAATGAAAAATGCAAGTGAAGCAATATGAACATTGTAATGGAGTACTAATATGAGGGAGCTGAAGAGAAAACAACTTCCCACCCCTACACCGGTTATTACTTCTGTTAGGACTGTTAGTGCTGGTTATGCCCAAGCTCTGCCATTTGCGGGTCTAACTTCATAATTATCGGCTCTAATGCCAAACTGTAACGGTTTCCAGTCTCCACCATGCTTTCAAAACTAACAATGAGATATCATTTATACATGGTGTGAGGCCCATTCCTACTATCGGTGTTTCTCCCAAGAATGGAAGCTAGTTTACTAAAAGAAGAAACACATAAGAACAAAATAAAAGCGTACAAGCTTCAGATTTTATTAAATGGAGTATCTTTATATTTTTACAATTGAATTCAATCACTTACAATAACTTCCTAGCGAATTGATCATATCCTGATCAGTGTACATTGTATTTGTATTACATCTGCATTACTGTATAAAGTAATATAAGACATGCTTTAATTAATCAGGTTATACTCTATTAGGATTAGGGTGAGCTCTAACCTCCATCATTAGAAGCTAAATCTGTTGTGCTCTTACTCTTAACTCTATCCCAGCTAGCTTATAACCCCACTAATTAAATATATTCAAGCTATGTTAACTTAGCTTGAAGACCAAATCATCTGTGTATACTTTTGTTACAAAAAAAGAAAAAAAGAGAATCGGAGAGTATGTATGTGTTGATACTTGTTAAATATACAATCGTCATAGCATTTGGGTAAAGTTGTTTGAATGGAACCTGCTATCAAATTGATCTTCTTAGGTTGTTTTGTGATCAGGGAATAAAAGGAGTGTCATGGATATTAAAACTTGGTAGGAGTCTAGCAGTTGTATGATCATGGTTATATTGACCAAATGATATAAGAGTTGGATTGAATGATTCCATCATTGTTGCCTCCCTAAAATTAGAGCCATTTCGTCCGGCAGCTTCGTGACCCTCATTAGCCATGCCCAGAGGTAGAAGAGAATCCTTACTGATGGAACCACTACATTGCCTAGGTTGTGTTTGGTAGAAAATCTTTGATGCAACAAGCTCTCCTTCTTTCTCATCTTCATCATCTCCTAGGTGGTATTGATGCATCACCCAATTGGTTTTTTCGGGTTTCCGTTGCTTCCCATAGTTTGTGTACAACACCAATATTTTCTTGTACCCTTTCATCCTGCCTTTCACCAGTACTGGTCTGGTCTTACCGGTTTTGTGCCACCGCGTTTCGCTCCCATCAGCCTCTGTCTGCACTTTTCTTCTCTTTCTCGTGCCAGTAGTATAAGCTTTGGATGGTCTATGAAAAAAGTGCCGAACTAAACCATCTTTCGTGACTCCTGTATTATTAAGGTTTTTTATCAATAAACCTCATAACCGTCTTCGTATGTATATTTTAACTGGGAAAAATTAAGTGGCTCGATTAGGTAAGCTCAATAATTTATGTGACAGAATCATGGACAAACATTTATATAAGGGAAAAGGTGCAAATAGGCCCATATACTAACCAAAAAGGGTCAAATAAGCCCTTATTTAGGAGACTCTGTCCGGCCGTCGTCATTTGGAGTGGTTCCCGGTGGAATTTTTTGATGAAATTTTTTGGGCATCTTATTCATCAAGTCTAGTTTACTCATACCAAATTTCAGCTAAAACTTCAATCGGGAAGGCATTCAAATGAATTCTTGAAGATAACTGCGCAGTTATTTTCAAGAATTTATTTGAATGCCTTCCCGATTGAAGTTTCAGCTGAAATTTGGTATGAGTAAACTAGAGTTATTGAATAAGATGCTCAAAAAATTTCATCAAAAAATTACAACGGGAACCACCCAAAATGGCGACGGCCGGACAGAACCTCCTAAATAAGGGCTTATTTGACCTTTTTTTGTTAGTACATGGGCCCTATTTGCACCTTTTCCCTTTATATAATGGTAAATTCATAATGAAAATGCATGGCATGTTATTAACATAAGTCTATTGAGTTCCATAAGAGATCTAGTCGCTTTACTCAACTACTCATGTGTATGGCTGGACTCGGGCCGGTTCGGGCCCGGTTCGGGCCTGGGCCCGGCCGGGCCTCGGGCCAGAAAACTAGGGCCCGGGCCCGAACCGCCGGTGGGCGGTTCCGGTTCCGGGCCAAACCGGGCCGGGCCGGGCCGGGCCGAACCGGCCCACTTAATTTTTTTTTTTTTTTGGTCTCCTATTTAATCCCCTACCCCTCCCCCTCAACCCCAAACCATCCCAAACCACCTCAAATGGCCCAAAATACCTAATCCAACCTAAAACTTAAAAAAATTTCAAAAAAAAAAAAAAAAATTAAAATCCGGCCCGGACCGGGCCCGAACCGGCCGGGCCGGTTCACCAAAACCTGGGCCCGGGCCCGAACCGCCCAGCAGCCGGGCCGGGCCGAACCGAACCGGTGGACCCACCGGGCCCCGGGCCGGGCCGGGCCTAACAGTAACCGGGCCGGGCCGGTTCCGGGCCGGGCCGCCCGGCCCGAGTCCAGCACTACTCATGTGTAGAGTGACATGCAGATAGTCCAATGCATTATTTGCATCAATGCAAAAATTGTTCATAGAGGTGTTTATAAATTTGAATACATTTTTTGTGTGTACAAGACAAACAAAGGTTTTTATCAAACTTGAGTAGTTACAGATTGGAATGTTGAAGAATGTGTTTTATTGGGGTTTTATACACAGTAAATGCATGTGTAATATAACTAATGATCCATGAATCCACTTTCAATGGAGGCAGAATGCAGCTTTCATTGTGACACAAAAAAAGGTGGCCCTGATACTAAAGATGCTTGGGGTAAGCATCTAGTGATTTGATTGCCACTTGATGAGATTACCTTTGTGGATCATCAATCTTAGGAACCCTTTTTAACCAATTCTAAATTTTTATTTCACGCATTAAATTATATACGTAGTAATAAATAAAAGGTGAAATTTGCAAGAATAATTCCTACTTTTATAAGTTCTGCAATGATAATCTGAAAATATTCATAAAAATAACCTGTACTAACAATAATGTTCATAAGAATAAATTACAATGTATTCAAATTAATGCTCATTTAATACTTTCAACCTTATTTTCACTTTTCAATTCACCAGTCCCCGTCTCGATTCACAGTTTTAAGTTTCAACCAAGAAAGAACAACATATGACGAAAATGATGTTAATATTAAACGGGTTTTAATTTGAAATTGTCCCGAAAAGAAGAGTATGGAGGAGAAAAGTGAGGGTAAGAGTTAAAAGTATTGAACCGACATTAATTTGAATTCACCCCAATTTAATCCTATGAACATCTTTGCTAGTTCGGATTATTTTTGTAAACAGTCTGAGGGATTGTTATTGTAGAATTCGTAAAAGTAGCATTATTCTTATGAATTTCACCTAAATAAAATTAGAACAGACAAAATTGAATTTACTTTTCTGATTTAATTTGCTAAATAACATAATTTTGACTTTTTTACATAATTTTTTATTTTATTTTATTTATAAAATTTAAAATTATTATTACACATTTTTTAAATTCACCATATTAAATCAGTTCAGCCTTTTCTTAGTATAACTTTAGCAATTCAGCTATCATATGGGCTCTACATAACAACCACTATTGTGATTTCTTAACTGAAGTCTATTAAAAATGGTACGTTACCTACAACTAAGTAATATGCTTATATGCTATGGAAACTAATTTACTAATATGTACGTTTATGTACGCCTCAGGCCCTCAAATAAAAGGTTTATAGGACCGGTGACAAACTAAATAAGGAGCCGCAAATAAAAATCTAATTCACATTTGTTTGAACAGCCAATCAATATACGGAGTATCAAATACTCCGTAACATTTAGTAATTTGAAGTGTAAAGTTATTGAAATGAATTACAAGTATTTATGAGAAGTATGAATCCTGCCTCCAAATGTTCATTGCGACAATGCTAGATATAGCTAAAATGTGCAATAATGCAATTTAAGCTCTATTTTTTAAAATAGTTTGAGCGTATAACAAATTTGATATGTTAACGATGAATAAAGTTAAAAGTGAAAGCCAAGTGCATTGGATGCAACAACATAAGAATGAAAAAAGTATAAAATAAGTTGTTCACGCATATTGATCTTAATTACATATTGATTTAATATATTATAATTGCTGGTTTGAGAGAAATATTTTAACATGTTCCTTCACTCCAATCTAGTCTTTACAACTTCAGGATTAATATATGCATCAATATCCTATTTAAACGAACCATCTTAACTCAACTATGGGCAAAACTACAATTTGTGCAATGATGTAAATCATTCAATAAAATAATGTTCAAGCACAATATATTCCAATGAAAAAATCAATATTATTAGAAGTGTGCAAAAGAATGATATATTAAATGACCTGGCAATTTAACTGGATGGGTGCAACAAATCCCATCTTCACCATCAAGAGTATGGATGAACTCGTCAATGAGAGGGTGAGCTTCCAGCCTCACCTTGGCCTCCAAATGTTCAAGAATCTCTTGATCAGTTGGATCAAACTTCACCCCAGCAGGCAACCCCGGTTGCATCTGTTGAATCCCTACCACCCTCTGTCGATGATGATTATCGAACATGATTGGATGGCCACACGAAGGGCAAGCCGTCATTATTCCTCCGCCTCCACCGCCACCAATAATTTCCATCGCCTCATCATCATCGTCGTCGTTACTCTTACTAGTATTAATCTTATTGTTATTGTCAGCTGAATCACTCCTGCTGCAAGTCATATTTCCGATTTCCGAGAGGCCCACTTTTTTATTTGTCTACTAAGAAAACATCATCAGCTGTACGTTGATTTTGCCTCTCCGTACTACCTGACGTATAAAAATATAAACTAACATATAAAGTCTTGTGCTACTCTCCAGTATTAATTACCTTCTTCTCGGGAAGCTAGGTAGGAAGGGGTAGGGCGAGAAAAGCTTATTATAAGCAGGCTCATCACGTTAGCTGAGCTGCTACCTTGTTCTTAATAGTTGGGAAGGTATAGAATTCCTCCTCCTTTATTTTTTTGGCCCCGACAGGTACGTACTTTTGGCCCTTCCATCAATCCAACGCATCCCCGATTTATTCTAGAACAAGAGTCAATCGTCATTAAACCCATAGGTGCCGTAATATAATGATTAAATGCAATAGATTCTATGTATGGGGTCAAAGTGAAACTTAGATTAGTCAATAAGTACTGTTCAAGGAAGGAAATTAATTGATTAAAGGGGAAGTTAGGGTTGGTTGCTTGACAGTTACGTTTCCCTTGAGCTAAGTTACTCTATATGTCGTGAATGTGTTGCTAGGAATGATTGCTTCGTGTAGAATAAATTAATAAATTGTAGTTAGATGTCTTTTTACACACCAGCAGGTACCCATCTAAAGTTTATGAAGAATCCTCATCCACATAAATGGTAGCTTAACTATTCATATTATTACGTTTTGATACATTAACTCTTAAATGAATCAAATCAGTATCATAACTATATATAAATGTTTAATCTCACAATATTATCCAAATTTCCGACTGAAAAAACATAGGCAACGGCCGGAGTTCTATACGTAAAGTCCACTACACTCTACTTTTGTTCATGTCATCACTGTAAGGTGGACCCTAGACATGTATAATATTGCCAATTTGAAACATTTATGTATAGTTATGGTACTGGTTTGATTAATTTAAGAGTTAAGATATTAATATGTAACAATACCAATATTTAAGGTATCATTTATGCATTTCACCCTCCACATACATAACTCTATATGATATGATAAATAAATGGGAAATTACCTAAATTAAACGTGATTAAAACATTCATAATTTTCTAGTATATGACTATCAAACTTAAACATGACTCTATATAATGAAAAATTAAATTTAAGAGAAAAAACTATCTAATCATATTTTAGGAATCATCATAGTCTCTTTTTGTCATACCCTTGATAATTTTTCTAAGTAAATCAAATTTATGTTACAACGTCTGGGGTTGGTTGGTCGATTGGCCAGGCCATACAATGGATTAATTAATTAGTACAGTGTAACATTATATTATACGGAATCAATTGTTTGAGTGTGGATGGGGGCACCTATTTCTATACCTCTTGCATGACATCAACCTTTATTAGTTTTTCTCTCACCCAATATGTACCTTTAATGTCTATATATATCTCCCGTATGTAAATTAAGTGTGGACAGTTCCGTTTACGGTTCGGTTTTCATCGGTTTCGTTTTGATCTCAGTTTATTCGGTTTAAAACATATTGTATCAAACTAAAATCATTTGTGTTTCGGTTTTGATGGAGTTTAATCCAACTACGAGTGCTATATCTACGAGAGCAGATGAAATTTAGGTAGCGTAAGACATTATTATTAACCCGGAACTCGGTCCTTTGATAGGAAATATACAGGAAGTATTTAGAGACCTTAGGAACTAGTGTTCTAGGAGGAAACTGATACAATAAATGCTCATTAATCGAAATAGACTCCTGTCGTAACGCCTTGGACATTGTGCAATGATATCTCCTTCATGTCTACGTTTCTTCCGTTTATTCTTGCCTGCTGCCAGATAGCTATGCATGAACGATAGCTTGCCACGTAAGCCCTAGGAAGAGTTCGGCCTCACTAGAACTCCGCGCAGGCTCGAGGTCTGCTGTCCAGCCCGGTCTGGTTGTGCGTTCCTTTCGCGAGTCTCATTCCTAATTAGGCCCATTGGCTAATTAACATTAATCCCGTTAAGGTTTAATCCCGTTAAGGGCTTGATCCCGTTAAGGGCTAATCCCGTTTATGGGCTAATCCCGTTTATGGGCTAATCCCGGCCCGTTGAGGGATCAATCCCGTTTATGGGCTTTAACTATAATTCCGTGATTGGGCCATGACTGTGATCCATGGTACATCACGAGCCCCCTACTCTCTAAAATTAGTAGGGCTGGATTTTAGGAGAGTATGGTACTTCAAATTTCAAATCTCTGATGAACTGTAGCGCCGCTCCGCATTAAATGCGTCCAATTTGACACATGCCTGCAGGCCGACACAACTTCCAATCCGCCCCACCAGCTTTAGCACTCAAGTGCCTCGATCACGGTTTCCAAGCGGTTTCCACGCCCTAATTTCTTGCACTACAAGAAAAACGCTCATCTGCGAAGGGAAATATAGTCGCAAAACCTAAATAAATGGTTGCTAATGAGTATCTATATTTTTGCATAAATATGATACGTAATATTGTATTTTTGTGTGTATAAAATACATATATACACATACATAAACAAACATGAATGATAGAATTATCACATTTAATCATACATAGTATATGGTGTACCACATAGAAGTATGTTAAATTTAGTTTATGCTTGCAATTAACGTTGAAGTCTAAACTATGAACATTAAAGGATAAACATATATAGTACCGAGAATAGAAATATATCCGGTTTTATATGATACGGGTGTGATGTCTTGATATTCAACGGGGTTTTCGGTAGATGAATGTAAGTCGTAACAGGAATTAGGTTTTATGCAATACGTATTAAACCACTAGCTTTTTGTAGCAGAACCTTTACAATAATTTTCCATTCACTACACATTGAATGTATTTGATTATAATACTATAATTAATATAATATTTTAATCGCCCGTAAAATAAAGGCAATGAGTAACTTAGACAAAGCTGAAATCAATTTTAAATTATAATCATAAATCTTTGAGTTCAAAAATAATTACTAAAATTTACATCATTTTTAATTCCTCAGAACAACTAACAAACTATATCAAACTGTATACTACATATGTAACAAGTGCTTCATGTTCAACATACGACTTCATTGATCTTTGTGTTCTTGAGATTGGTCTCTGTTTGCATGGCCTACATCTCTCAAGTCTTCTGAAGATGTGCAATGAGTAAATTCTTTATGCTTGTAATTTGTATTCGTCGCATATGATGTCTTGTGCTTCATCCACAAAAAAATTAAAGTTTAATAAATGGCAAAAAGTACTTAAGTGGAAAATTAAAATATTAAAGCAAGTACTAACATATTTCTTAATTGTTTCCAGTATATATACTTCGTATAAGGGATTGATCTGATTGGATACAAAGAACAAACTGTTTCCAACACACACACACACACACATATATATATACATACATAAGGGATTGATCTGATTGGACACAAGAACAAACCTGCTGCCACACATCTCTAAATTGAAAGTAATTGAATAATTTTACAAACACAATCATCATATAGTATGTGAAACTGCTTAAACATTTCAGAATCAAACCTAGCTATAACTAAGAACTGAGTGGTATAATGACATACTTTATCAACCTATTATCTTAAGACACATAATAATGACTTTAAAACGCCAAATTAGATTAAGGGGCTTGATGTCTTTGTAACACCAAGTTATCTTGATGAACTAAGGACATGTTAATAATGATAGGCTGGCTTTATGGAAGAATTCACTTTTGAAGAAAAATTCTTCCCATCAGGATATAATGATAAATGAGCTTCCTAAGACTTAAAATTGAAACACATTTCTTACTTAGGTTGATACTGACAACATATATCAATGACTTTAAAACACCAAATTATCTTAGGTTTATACTGATAACATATTAACATGACTTTATGGAACAATACACACTTGAAGAAACATATTCCCAGAGGGATATAATGATAAAATATCTTTATTTAGAGTTAAAACTGAAATATACTTTACCCACTTTAAGCCACACACACATATATTACTCTCAAATTACAATATAGCTATGAAAAAAACTTATTCTATTTCAACGAAACAAAGGAGAGTTACCTCTCAAGATTATTCACAAACGCCATATAGACATCACATTAAGGGCACTTCAGTAGAAGAGGTTTCACGAACCCATCTCCAGCAAATCGAAACCAATATCCCTTAACATAACATAATTACAACAAAAAACATTTATAGAATTAGAGATTGAAATCAATCTACATAAAATTCTTTTAATTTCTCACACTTCTCTTCATGTAGCCATTCTTTGGTGCACCTGAAACATACTTAAAAGATAGATAGATAGATAGATAGATAGATATATTTTGAAAAAATATTTAAGTCTATACCATTGAAAAATGGAAAGCTTCTCTTATCCAATAACTTCAGTTAACTACAATCAATATTAAATAAAATTAGAAATCTAAACCCTAAAAATTAAAAAAGAAAGCATATGGTAATATCAGAACCTCGGATAGGCTTACGCCAGAAGCTACTGAAGAGGCGGTGTGAAGATGGTGTATCACAAGTTGCAATCTCATAGGCTGAGTATAAACAATAATGTTCTCGCTACGAGGAATGGAAGGAGAAATCATGATATTACAGTGAAAGTTGTATGACATCGGCGACTTGGGAAGGGAGCTGAGGCTCCCTATTGGTGATTTACGTCGCGTCAGTGCCCCCTTGAGAACCACATCTGAGAGATTTGAGAACTACCGATACTCTTCGTTGGAACAGAGTCTGGGACAGGCGGTACAAATTTCAACACTACGACAGGGATACTTCGTGGGTGCGTAGTCCAGCCTTCAGTCGTCCGCGAATAGAGACATACAGACCTGGTGACCAATTTACAACGAACACAGACCTACAGATCTGCTCAAGATCGATACTGGGCGGTAAACTGGGCAAATAAAGGTGGGCAACATGTATTCCTCAGGATTGACGACTCTGGAATTCCTCACAGGGATTGAGGAATTTAGGGCAACTCGCAGCGTAGAGGGCTAGAGATAATCGAATGAAATCAGGAAAAACTTAAAACAAAAAATTTTAGGCGCTTTAATTTTTTCATTGTACCGCCCAAAGTTAAACTTTAGAGACCGGAAAGGCGAAGACAAATTAAGGTAGCCGCAAAAGATTAATCATTTTGTGACCAGGTAAAAAAGAGGTCGCTATTACCTATCTATTACGACCGTATTGTACATCAGTCGCAAATTTATGGTCGCAGATACCCATTTTTCTTGTAGTGTTGGCTATTTAAGCGGCCATCATTCTTCCTAGCTAAGAACTCTTCTGCAAT